TGCAGGTGGTTGATGTCCCAACTGTCGTAGAGGCGACTGGTCGGGTTGCCCCCAATGTCTCTGGTAGGGATTTTGGAATAACCGTAAAGGATTCTAGGATGTTCCCCAATGAACGTCAGCTGGCTGCAACCCAGCAGCGACACCGTGTTGCACTAGTCTCCCCGGATTCCATCACTGGCCCTCCTACACAATTAGGAGAAAGCCAATCTAATTTACAAAATACATCAGGCACTTTGCAAATGGTTGCTGTCCCAACTGTCGTAGAGGCGACCGGTAGGGTTAACCCCAAAGTCCCTGGTGGTGGCTTTCCTGCGCAACCAGGAGAGAACCACTCTCAATCGTCTAATGTAGCCGCACAAAATGCCGTAGCATCCTTGCCCCAGTCTTTACATCACTCGGGTATCTCACCCGCCCCTGTAGTGGCGAACCAACAGCTCGCAGAGTTAGTCACAGTGTCTAGCTTGCCCATAACACTAAATGTTATGGTGCCTAGTGCAACAGCTGTAAGTGGCTCGAACACATCAGAGTCAGTTTTGGTTCAACAACTCCAAGCTGAGGTGTTAAGGTTGTCAGAGGCATTGCAATTGCAACAGCAGCAGCTTCAACAGATGCAACAACAATTACAATCTAGGGCGAACACACAGCTACAGGAGGTGGCTTCAACAAGACCCAGTCTTTCAGCTAACTTGCCTACAGCATCTAATGCTGTTGTGCCTTGTGCACATGCTGTAAGTGATTCGAACCCAGCTTTGGCAAAAGCACACCAAGTAGTAGCATCAGCCGGTGCGCCCCCAGCATCATTTGCACAGGGCGCTGCCTCTGGCACGCCACTAGGGATAGGTCTTAGTCATGCGAGCCATGCGGGTACACCATGTGGTAATTCGACTCGTCGAGCCACAGGAAGTGAGTTATTCCCGCAGCAGGTGCTTCCTCCGGTTGTGCCACCATTGCCATTGCACCTTGTCCGACGAGGTGCCCAACACTCAATGCCATCATATTATCACCACAAAAGTTCACGTAGGTCGGTTGACTCTTCGAGCTCAGGGTCATCATCCGACAATTCCTCCATATCACCTGTAAATTTCGCGAGACGGGAAGCCATGACCGTTATGATCACGTCCCTGACTGACCTGGTTTTTCCCCACCCTCCTGTTAATGCAGGTGAAGCTCGAGGTTACATGAACCAGGTGTTAATGGCCATAGGCAAACTTCAAAAGACCCCTGGTAATGAACTTTACTTGTGGGCCCAGGAGTGCCTAACCTTAACAGAGGAAGAACTCCAAGCGGACCCTCGCTACCCTCGCACTGACCGCGAAGTAGCATTCAAGCTCTTAGGAACTTGCACAGGCGGAAAGTTTGGACTCCTCTTCAATCAGATGTTAGAATCTGAGCGCGCTGCTAGTGGGGCTATGCCCTGCGGGCGCGCGATGTTGCGTAGAATATTTAAATATTTCCAGCTAGAGCGTGACCGCCTGGGCATGCTTGGCGAAAGAAATTTGTTGTCCATTAAGGTCCCCGGTAACACTATAGCCGATCTAGTTACCTCTAGAGACACCTATATCTACGTAATGTCAACAATTCCTACAGAGGATTTGCCGCGACCGCAAACGTTGTTTAACCATCTTATCGACGAGCTTGAGCACCATGATGTAATGTCCTCCAAGGTCATTAAAGCTAGGGAAGCCCGACTAGATAGCCATCGTCGCACAACTGAGTGGTTATGGTCTAAAGTTGAACTAGCCATCCAACTGGAGCAGCAAGAACGCAATCGCCGAGATTTTGATGAACAGCTAGGTCTAACACCAGCGGCAGGGTACTTCGGTACCAATCCACCTCCCGATGACAACATCGCTGGTGCCTCGGCACCAACCCCAGACCCAGAATCGGAGAACACTCCTGAATCTCCAACAAGTCAGGGTTCAGGGGGGGGTGAGACCGAAGAGGATATGCAGGCAGCCCCTACCCAAAAGGCTAGACCCGTAGGATTAAAGCAGCCTCCATCCACTGATGTGGATAGCACGAACCCTAAGGGGAAGAGGACCAAGAGAGCAGCCCGTAAATCGGCAGCCGAGAAGGCCACCACCCCTTGCATGTTCTTCGCGTACAATGCATGTAGGGCAGAATCGTGCGCATTCCTCCACTCTGAAATCAATAAATATCGAGGACCTCCTCCTAGATCACTTAGGAAAGGTAATAAAGCTCCTCCTAATGTTCATGCTAGCGTAGCAACTGTGATAGTCCCAGAGATCGCTGTCTCTGACGCGATTAAACCTGTAATCACTGCCATGCCTTTCGAAGCTTCCACAGCCATCCCTTGGCTATGGGACACTGCAGCAGGTCGACACCTCATTGGACGCCAAGCCCTCACACCATCCATGCGGGAGAGTGTACAGCACTCTCCAAATCCCGTAGCTTTCGCTACCGGAGGTGGCAGCCAATCCGGCAAAGGATCCCTGACATTTAGTGGCAGTAAGATTCTTGATGGTGAAGAGGTCTATGTTCTAGAGGAATGCCCTCCAGCACAAAGTATAGGTAAAGCAGTCATAGATAAAGGTTACATGTTCATCTGGGATCCACGGGAGAGCGTCCCATATCTAATAGCTCCCGAAAACGTCAATAGATGCAGGCTAAAAGTTCCCAGGAACGCTAAAATCTGCGCATCTAGGGTGGTAGAATACGTCCCACAATACGATGAAGAACTGACTCCATGTTCATTTGATCCAAATGAGCGCCCTGCTCCGGTACCAAATGCAATGCCAGCTTCATCCGTAGGACCCAAGACACTTGTAGAAGTAGATGATTCCAATAACCATGGTGTTTCGTCAACCCCTACATATAATGTCTTTCCACCCGCAAAAGATGAAGAAGCAGATCTAGCACCTGAATCTGTTGATGACGCTGTTGGTTTGTCTAACACGTCGGATCTAAAATGGTCGTTGTCGATGTTTCCAACGTACCCAATAACACAATTGATGACCAGCTCCTAATTGAGCTGGGGAGCGGCGAGCCGCCAAAGTATAAAATCTTGAAGCAGCGAGCCACTAATCCAAGCCATACGCGATTAAACTTATCAAATAGCCAGTTTTACCCCATTAGCCATATAACTAAAGATAACGCTATGAAGTTTTCACATTCCAATGATGGCAAGGCCGATGGTTTTGATGATTCTTCAGGGCAGCAGCATGAGCAGCTCTCATCAAGTAGCGTTGTCCTAGATAAAGGCACCCAAAAGTTTGAGGTAATAACAGGAAAAGTTGAATCGCATGGAAGTAAAAGCGTAGCAGCCAATGTGCACAACCCAGCGCGCCTGGTGCACGAAGGCGATCTCGTCTTCCCGGTAGGTATGTTATGTGGTCATGCCCTCTTCAGGGGGGGTAACCCGCATGACTTGAAATCCCCTAATAATACTGAGGATGACGTTCTCTGTCATAAAGATGGGGGTAATAATGACCCTTCAACACCTGATCTTAGGAGATTTCCCATAAACACACTCTTAGATCATGTCCTCGCCACTGAGGATACGCCTGCTGGGATGAACCGGCGGTTTGCTTAAGTTAGTATTGGGTATAAGTATGTTTATAAGTATGGTATAAGTATGGTATAAGTATGGTATAACATAAGTATAATTGTTGTAACTTTGGTAAAGGTTAGCCTTCCTGAAGGCTAAGTCCTACATAGTTTATAAAAGGTTAACTATACTTATGGCTCCTGAGTTAACTGGTTAGCACTAGTTATATAAAATGTTAAGGCTGTAGTTAGCAACATTTGCTAAGTACTTAGCATGTAAAAAAACAATGCATTTTTTGACAAGACCTTGGAGCCATGGTGGTTTTTTTTGTTTTTTTAAATTGATTCCCAAATGCTTGGCCATTGCATGCACTTGTCAAGCCACTTGGTTTTTTTCATGTTTGTGCACCAACACTTTAATCTGAAATTTGTAGAATTTCAAGTTTCAAGCCTGAGATTGGCTTATGAGTCATGGTGGAAATTTTGATGTTCAATGTGGTATGCAAACTGCCAAATCCATTTGTACCTTGTGTGACATGTTCTGGTTTGTGGTTGGTGTAGACTTGGCATATGCATATTCCAAAAAACTCAAGCCTTTTGAGGCTTATCTCTTGTTGTGTATCAACATGCCTACCTACTGCTGCAGGTATTTAGGATTGCATGCAGCCATTTGCAATCTCCATAAGCTTTGAAACAATGGGAACCCAAAGGGGCAATTTGAGATTTGAGCCCATGGATAGTGAAGATGAATCCAGGGAGTTCAGTGCCCAGAGCCACCCCCATGGTTCCTACATCCAATGCGCTGCTCAAGATTGTCCTGGGTGGCTTTGGTGTTGGAAGCTTCCATGGAGCTACAGGTGCCAAAGGTGTGGTAGAAGGTGGACAGCCAGCTTTGAGAGCAATAGCTATTCATACTGGCTGGAAAGGCCTGCAGGAGCTGGAAGTTAGATAGTGGATCTGCAACAATGGTAGGTCATGGCTCAAAGTGTAAAGGTGCTGGTGATATGTCTGAATATTTTTTTGAACATGCCTGGGGTGACAAAAAATTGCTTGCAGAGTGGGTGTGCATTTGAAGTCTGGCATCATTGTGTTTTTACAGATGAGCTTTCAAGCCAAGCAGGCTTTTGAACATGTTTCTATACCCTCACAGCATGTGTGCTTCACTTTTAGGTTTGCCAATGCCATGTATTTGCAAGATTCTGAATACAAGACATGCTACATGTGTAGGGTGTACCCATGCATATCTTCATATAGTTGTCTACAAGCACATGATCAAGTCCTTGGGCTTTTGGGTTGCAATCTTGAAATTGTTAGGGGCTGCCATGTGGAGCTGGGGCTGCAAACTCTTACATTTGAAATGTGACATCTTCAAGCCCATGGGCTTATGTTGTTGCCAGTTGCTAGCATTGTTTGCTTTGCTTTGTTGCAACTGTCAGCTGATTATATTGCAAGCTTGAAGATCAAAGTGTATGCAACTTTTTTGGTTTGTCGCCATGGCAAATATCTCCTTAGAGGTTTGTGGAAAAGTGGATGAAGTCCTGAGTTCCTCCATGGGTGTGATGAGCCAGTGGAGTGAGATCCAGCAGATTTTGCTGGATTCAGGGCTGGCTTACCAGCAGAAGTGCACCCCTGATTTGTTCCTTTGTCATCCCTTGAATAGAGGTGGCACTGGAATCAACCCTTTCAGCATGCACAGAAAGGGGTCCACCATCATTGCTGCAGGTGCAGACATGCAGCAGTTGGGTGGAAGTGTTGCCATTGAAATTTCCACTGATGATGGCACAAGGAAATCCCAAATTGAGTTCAACAAGAAAATGGTTGTTGACTCAGAGAATTTGATGGCCATGCCAACAGGCAAAGAGAGGTACCTCACTTGTGCCAAGGGCCACACCACTCAATTTTGCAAGGCAATTGTTGCTTGCTGCAAGACCTCAGAGTCCAGCATTGCTGGGCCCAATGGTCACTTGGGCAGCCATTTGCTGAAGGACAAGGAGTTGGCCAAAATGATCCATGAAGGCTGGCAGTGGACTATTGTCAAGAATGTGGTTGCTGAGAAGTGGCCAAGCCTTCCTTCAATCATTGAAAGTGCTGGAAACAGCTCCAACTCAACATATGAACTGCAAAATGAGGTGCAGCTCATGTCCAGCATTGTGCTGTCCCAGAAAGGCAAGTTGCCAGGTGAGCTCATGTATACCAAGAGTGCTGTTGATCTCTGCCATGGAGGTGCACTTCAAGGATATGCAAAGCATGTTGGCAAATTTGTTCAGCTCTATGGAGGCAAGGTTGTTTCGAATTCAAGCAAGAAATAGGGACTGTGAACCCCAGAAAATCATTTTTTCTTGGTGCAAATACATGTCAAATTATATGTTGCCCAATCCCTGCAGGTGGGCAAGAAGGTCCCATGATCAATTTCTTGGCTTACATGTCCAAACAATTTGGTGGCAACCCCATTCTTGGAGAAGAATTTATGACCACAATTGTTGACATCCAGTTTTCCAAGACCACTTTGCACCCCATGGTCAAGCTTGCATTGGTGGTGGCCAACTGCACTACTGACAAGGTGGTTGACTCAGTGGCCAAGCTCATCACCAAAACAGATGTTGCTGGCTTGAAACAGAAGAAGTATGAAACCAAGATCAATGAGGTAGAGGCTTCTTTGACTAAGTTTTGGGACAAGGTCAACAAAACCCAGTTGGACCAGGCTGTGATCTACAAGTTGTTTGGCAGGAGCTGTTGTAGATATGCACTCCATCTATGCAACAAAGAGAAACAGAGCAAGGATGGCAAAGAAAAAACAATGGATGAATTAGAAATGCTTCAGAGTGATGACTTAGCACAGGCAACAAGTGCAGGTGCTGCAGCCAGTACATCCAAGCCCAGTGGTTCAGGCACCCAGGATTCCAAGGAGGTAGCTTTTGAGTTGCAGCAGGCAAAGAATCCTATGTTCTTGGCAGCCCAGTTGTTGGACCTGAAGGTTGGCAACAATTTCACTGTCAAAGACCAGCCAGCCAACAGAATTTTCACCCTGGTTGCTGTAGAAGCTGACAAGGTGACCTTGGAGCATGTCCCCTTACTGGAACCCACCAAGAAGATCACCATGAATTTTCTTTCCACAGAGATTGCTGCTCATCTCAAAGCCACCAAGTCCAAGATGCCCAAGCTCTTTACAAATGCCCAGTTGCAACTGATGTGGCCTTCCAACTCTGATCCATGCATGGAAGAAACAGAGAAGTGTTCCCTCTTTGTTGTTCTCCAGGAGGCATACAATTTCCTGGATATGGATGAGCATGAAGTCATGGTCCAAAGCACACCTCATGCCATGTGTTTTGCCCAGAAGGATATGAAGAAGAACTACATTCAGCTGGTGCCATGCCCTGAGAGGCTCCAGAACATTGTGACAAAGAAGCCACCAGTCAAGATCTTTGGGGAGGTTACCTTTCAGATGAAGACCTACTACATCACACCTAGCAAGGCTGTGAAGTGGGATGAAACTAAGCAGGTTTATGAGGGTACTATGTGCCCATTTTGGATTTGCTCAAAAGAAGATGAAGAAGGTTTGCTAGAGTTTAAGTGGATCACCCACAGCCATAAGCTGGGGGATGTCAACATCAAAGTCTTGACCAACAATAGCCCTGTCTCAGCCCACTGCCAGCTGAGTTTGAAGGCACCACCCAAGGACAAAGATCCAATGGGCCATCCTTTGAAGAAGCACAAGAAACAGTGAAACTAGTTTGGTTTGAGTTGCCAAATATGTGTTTCTATTTGGTTTCATGTTGATGCAGCCATGACAATGAGTGTGGCTTGGTTTCCAATCTTCGCCAAAGGAAGGGAGTGAAGCACATGAGTGCAAGTTTTTGCATATGCAGTTCAAACCATGGTGAATCATGGAAAAAGATTGAGTATTTTCTTGCTTGTGACCATGGTGTATGCCAAGTGTCCAAATCCAATGATAACATGCTCTATTTGTATCCATGTCAAGCCCAAGGGCTTATGTTCACATCTACTTGAAGCCAAAGTGTTTATGCCTTGCCATGCCAAGCCCAAGGCTTACACCATGATCCATGTGAAGGCATGCCTACCTACCAGGGTCAATGTCAAACCAGGGTCAAGCCTTGAACCAAATGATTTGGTATTTTCTTGCTATTCTTTGCAGTGGCCCCACAGGTGCATGACACAAAGGTTCAAAACATGGTCTATAAAGGGCTTGATAATTTGGTGACCATGATGCATCATGTCAAGTGTTCAAAGCTGAATCCAATGATAACATGCTCTATTTGTATCCATGTCAAGCCCAAGGGCTTCCACTGAACATGCCAAGCCAAACCCAAGGGTTTATGTTCACATCTACTTGAAGCCAAAGTGTTTATGCCCTGCCATGCCAAGCCCAAGGGCTTACACCATGATCCCTATGAAGGCAGGCCTACCTGTTCAATGTCAAGCTTATCATGGAGTGCTATTTAAAGAGGACTGCATGATTTATCATGCTTCTGATTGCTTCTTGCATTTTTGTCATAACCTTCAAGCCTGCAAGGCTTCTGCTCATTTGTTGGTCTGGGCAGCTTACTGTTATTATGTTGCAAGGTTGATAAGTTTGTCTTTTCAATCCTTTGGCTTCACATCATTCTCAACATGTACCATTGGCTGTATTCAGCATCCCCTTGGCAAACTTCCATGTCAACCATGCAGTTTTGGCTCCAATTGAAATTGAATGCTGGCTATGCCCAACCCCTTTGGTGTATCAGTGGCATGGCTGATGGGCAAGAGTCTGAAGTGGAGCTAGGCTTTCAACATTACATTTATTTTGCAACACTGGCAAAAAGTGGCTGATCCCAAGCCCATTGATCAAAGACAGTGGTGACCACAAGTGGCTCCAGATTGTAACAGCTAACTATGGGTTATGCAATTTGTTGACAGAAGGATCAGTGGGCAAGCAGCCAACTTTGAAAGGCAGCAAGGGGCTTTCTGAGCTTTTGGGGATGAGGGCTCAAAAGATGTCCTCCCAGTTTCAGGCAAATGACCTTTTTGAAGAAGATGCAGAGTCCAGCAAGACTGCCAAGAGAAGGAAGAAAGCTTCCACTGTAGATGGAGCTGAAAGCATTACCCTTGAACTGCCTGATTTTGGGTCATTGCTCATCAGAGCATGCAAGAAAAAGACTGAAGATTTGCATATTGTTTACACTGCTGAAAATGTTGGTGTGTTTTGCAAATGGATGTATGCCAAGGGTGCTGATGGTGATAATGACAAAAGAAGGGCATACACCCAAACTGGCAAGTATGCCAAAAGTAGCAAGGAAGATCAAGAGGATTGATCACACAGATTCTTGAATGCCAGCTGTGAAAACAAAAACAAGGAGTTGGGGGGTGGTCTGGGTTGATCTGAGTGTTTGATTGAATCCAATTAGGCTAAGAATTCCATTGTACTTTATTGCATGAGACCTGCATGAAGCAAGCCCTTGGCTTTTGAGATTTGAATAACCACTGCCAAATTATGTATCATGTTTGTATGAATCAAGCCCCAGGGCTTCTGAGGGTTGCAAAGTCAATTCAGTGACTTGCATGAGGGTTGCATGAGTCAAGCCTACAGGCTTATGCTTTGATGCAAACAAATCACTTGCTTGCATTGTGCATGATTCAAGCCTGGTGGCTAATGCTGTTGGATTGTGTGCATGTTCATACTTTTGATGACTGAATTGTGCACATGTATCACCACTAGCATGCATGTCTGCATACTTTAAGGTCAAACAAAGCCAGGAAGGCTTGTGTGATGCATGAGGTCGTCAGGATCATTAAGTCAATAGGCTTTTGAAACATGATGTAAGCAATTCTGGTATCAACAGTTGTGCTCAAAAGGGTTGCACACTCATGCCATTTTGCCAGGAAGGAATATACATGGCTTATGAACCTATCATAGAACATGATACTGATACATGGTTTTGAAACTACTATGGCATCTGCATTTGCAACATTACCCACTGCCCGCCATGGTGATCAGTTCCAGGTTCATCAAACCTGGTCCAATGGCAAAGGCCTCTGCAGCCAAGGCTCCCAAGCCTGTTATCAGGCCAGCTGCTCCACAGGTTGCCATTGCCAGAGCTGGGAAGCCAACTGAACCTCCTGGACCACCTCCTAAGGCCAGTGCTTCAGGCAGCAAGCCAGCTGAAGGTGTGGCACAGAGGATTTCCAAAGGGTTGAAGGACCCATGCTCTCCCCCAAAGGTAGCTGAGAGTGACACCATTGTCTTTGGAAAATCTTCCATGGACTCTGTGATCACTAATGAACAACTATGGGTGGTTGATTACTTTGGTGCATACCACTGTCATGGGTTCTATGGAAAGCATCCTCTTTGGAAGTCCCAGGAAGGAGGTACTGGTTTGCATGATGACTTTTTGGCTACCAGGAAGACTGCATACTTATGGTATTCAGCTCACTTTGACACCTATTTCCTTTCCAGTGAAGTTGTCAAGAACAGCCATGATGACTCAGCATGGCAGAATGCCACTGTGATTGGTTGGGTGTCCAAAGATCTACAGACCATGTACAGCCCCTGGAACTCAGAGACTGCATGCACCAATATGAAGATCATGAGTATTTGGGAATACTGCATGCAGCAAAGGGCCCCTGTGAGTGGTTCAACACCAGCCACATCCCCTGGTGATGATGTTTCCATGACACCACCAGCCCCACCAGCACCAGCTGCAGCCATCCCATCAGCACCATACCAGCCAGACTTTTTGGAAGGGACCACGGTTCTCAGGCCCCCACCTGTCCCTGAGGGTACAAAGGGTGGAGGTGGAAAGGCATATGGTCCTTGGAAACCAGAAAAGCCTGTTTTGAAGACTGGTGCCAAAGCTCGGTTATGTGCCATGCTGGTTGCCTATAGGGCAGGCAATTATCAGAGAGCAACCTATTTGACCACCAAGTACCTTGTTGTACACAAAGAGCTGAATTTTGGGTTTTGTCATAACCAGTATGAATAGGAGCAAATGATCTTGTATCATGTATTGGATATATACTGATTAATGATTTTGTGACCATTGGACACTGCCATGTAAAGAATATAGTAAAGTATTATGATACTATACTTATGCATGAAGGCCCTGGCTTGTACCACTTGTGGGTCCAATCCATTCAGCCATTCTCTTACCACTCAGGTTTCTTGCAGAGGATCCTCAACTCAGAGATCTTTGTGATGATCATCAGAGGATGTATGTCAACACTGGCATGGATGATCGCTACAACTACTGATATGAGAAGATTCCTTTTTTTCACCTGTGATGTTTCATCAAGATAAGAGCAATGTTGCTCCCTGTCTCCAGGTGGGTACCAGAGTTCATGTCACACTGGTTTGTTCTCACCAAATACAACACACATTGGATCATTCTATACATAACTACATTGTTTTTGCAACTGAATTCCTGCATCCATATGGATTGTTTCATTATACATTTAGTACTAATATGAATGCTCATATATCTCAATTGTAATTTCAATGGAATCCAAATTCAAATATTTCATTAGTATATTATCAAGTGCTTATCAATACATTTAAATTTGAAATCCAAATTTAGAACTATTGTTTAGTGCACCTAAATTTGGAATCCAAATTTAGAACTACTTTTTAGGGCACCTAAATTTGGAATCCAAATTTAGAACCACTTTTTAGGGCACCTAAATTTGGAATCCAAATTTAGAATCACTTTTTAGGGCACCTAAATTTGGAATCCAAATTTAGAACCACTTTTTAAGGCATCTAAATTTGGAATCCAAATTTAGGATCATATTTCGACATATTTAAATTTAGAATCTAACATTGGAAATTATATTTAGCTTTCAAATATGTTCAAGTAATTTTGTATTTACATTGCATAATCAATATATTTATGACACTTTGATTACTATGAAGTCATTGTGAAATTGAATTGCCAGTTGTGACTAGTGGACATATGCAGGTATCCCACATTGTGACTTTTTGGAGCAAAGCTACAGACAGTGGCATCAGTACAGACCTTTGTCTTGATATGCCAAAGATAATTCAAAGCAAAAAACAAGTGTTGCTGCATGGGTTGTGTCATGTTGGTAGGCTAAGCTTGCACATGCATCAAGCCTCTGGGCTTTTGACAGTTTGTACATGTGTCAGGCCTTTGGGCTTGTGATATTTCTGAATCTAGCCACAATTCTTGGTTGGCAGTGATCAAGCCTCAGGGCTTTTGATTTGACTTGTATCTAGATTGCTGAAGAGTCAGCTTTGTGACTGCCTCATGGTATGTGTACTGCAGCTTCCACATGAATGGGTGTTAGAGTTGGAGCCAGCATGCTTTCTTTGCCTTCTTTGTACTGAAGCCAGCATGCCTTGATCATTATGCCCATGGGGCTTTTGCTGGATATGGTTTGAAGCCTTTTAGACTTTTGCTGGTGTCCCTGTCAAGCCCACTGGGCTTATGCATGACAATTGCTCACCATGTATCAAACATTGGTAATATATTGCTTTTGACATATCTTGCATGACAAGCCCATTGGGCTTTTGTGATGTGGTATTGGCATGCACATTGTTGCCACCCTAGGGTATGCATTTTGGATCATCATAGTAGTTGCACAACTTGTGCCACAGCTTGCCATTGTGTGCATCATGACATGGTCTGTGGACAATATCATCACTGAGATCAAAGATGTTGGGGAGCTTCTTCACTTCAAGAAGCAAAATGGTGCTAAGAACATGGAGCAAATTGAATCTACTTTGCTGAGGAATGTGACTTACAAGTTGGATACCATGTGTCTTTCCCCAACAGATGCCTTGCAGATTCAAAAGGCTTTGCATGATGATCCAAATTTGACTTCTGATATGAAAGGCATTGTGAATGTTGCCATTGATGGCAGCCTGACCAGGGAGAAGGGTAGAGAAGACTATTCACACACATACAAACCTCAGAGGATCAATGTGCCACAGTACTTGACTATGTCTGATTGGGATACCATCAAGAACTCCCAGAACTACCACACCAAGGTTACTACAGTGTGCAGGAGGCTGAGGAGCTTGGGGGTGAGAAGTTTGGCAGAACAGTCTGTGAAGAGTGCTGTGGGTGCCATTTTGAGTGGCTATCAGGATTTGCCTGACCAAGCCACCATGTACCAGATGGTGCAGGATATCAAGCTGGGCTTTGCCAGCATTCCTGACCAAGCCAATGGCTTGTGCTTTGTGGTGAAGTACCCAGATGATCCAACAAAGCTATCACCACAGTTGTATGCCCATTGCTACTCAACTGAGCATCCTGCACAGATCATCCCTGACAAGCTGCCTATGATTTTGAAGCTCATTCCTTTGAGGCACACCCATGCATCTTTGGCAAAAGCCAAGCCAGTGCATGCAGCACCTTCAGCTGGGTCTGCTGCCTCATCATCACACACTTCTTCTCATATGGCTATGGCTCCATTCATGGAGATTGCTACCAATTTGGCAGCAATTGTAAAAGATCTCAGCAGGAAGCCATCTGCAGATGACATCAACTTGACCATGAACCACAATTTCCAGAATGGCCAAACAGGACCCTCTCCTGCAGAGATTGAAAGCTTCAAGCCCAAGCTCAGGACTAGCACTGTTGATGCACCTCAGGTGCAGCCAGCTGCAGCTTCTGTTGCTGCACCTTTGGCCTTGGAGAATGGGAATGGCCAGACTGATGAGCCTGGCAATGTCCATAGTGGCAATTCTCTTGATGGTGCCTCCATTGAGCAGGCTGCCTATGATGCCTTGCTTGCCAGAAATGGCAGCAAAACAAAAGGTGAAGGCAAGGGCAAGGGCAAGGGCAATGTCAAAGCCCAGAAGGCCAAAGCCTCAGCCAAGCCCAAGCCTAAGGCCCATGCCAAAGGCAAGGCCAAAGCCAAGGCTTGCCTCAAGAGACCTGCATCTGCAATGATGCCTTTTGTCTATGATCCTGGTCACCCTGGTGCTGAGTGGGGCAAGAGAACTTTGGATTCTTGGAGCTCCAAGCACTACCACTCCTCCAGGCAAATGGCATTGAACCAAGGCTTCACAGATGATGAGGCCAGGAGCTTTGCAAGGGATGCTAGGAAGAGGTCCATTGCCAATTGGCACAACACCTTCACCAGTTGATTTCATATTGCTGAAAGCAATTCAGTTGTTCTCATAGCTGATTTGTTAACTTAAATTAGATACATGTAGAAGAGCTGAGCTTGAGGGGCTGCTGCAGCAAATAGTTCACTTGAGAGTGGTGGTGACTCTGGGGCACCCATGGTGCTAATATCAAAGCAAACTGCAACATGGCTCCAATTTCAATCCTTGAGGCTTATCATGCAAGCCACTTGTTTGATGTTTCCAACTTGAAGCTTTGAGGCTTATCATGCACCACATTTGGTTCATGTTTCCAACTTCAAGCCTTGAGGCTTATGATGCAACCTATGCTACAAGTGTTCAATTTTGGCAAAACAAATATCAAGTGATAAGTGCATGCTGTGCTTCTACCCAGTCTTCAAGCCCAAAAGGCTTATGTGTTGTTGCATGCATGGTTGCACCTGCATGCTTGGCAATACTGTTCATGCTGAGTTGTTTGTGCAGCATCTGGAAGTGGATCAAATCTGTGAGTGTTTTGTGCACCATGCCCTGCACCATCACCAGATCAGCCTTTGTGCAAAATGGTGCTGAGAGTTGGACTGTTCTTCATTGGAGTTCAGGGTGGCAGTCATGGCAACATGGCTTATACTGTGAACAAGGCATGTTGTAAAGTTGTTTCAGCACAGACATGTGAGTTCATGTGGGCCCTATACCTGAGGTATGAGAACAGACCTTGTGGTGCTTCACATTTTCCAGAAGCTATTGCCATGCAGAGCTGCATCAGAGATGCAAACCATGAGGTCTACAGGCAGATTGAACTGAGCAATGGATGCATTAGAATGCAAGTAATCTGCATTTGTGCCTGGGGAGCCTAAATGATTTTGTTTTTGGGATGCATACATTTTTCATCACCTGCCTAGCCTAGGTATCCTATGGCCTGGCTCTGTGAGACCTTCTGGGAGATTGGCAACCCTTTGCACCAGCCATCTCAGTTTCAGGAGGATCTCTTGTGGAAGCTGTTTGGGAAAACGCCCTCAACTCTGCTGGGCACTGAAAACCAAGTGTACCCAGTTCCCTAACTAAGCTGCAGTCCTGAGGATGAAAACAAATTTCAGCAGCTGTGTGCACTCATGCCTCATGCCTTTCAAGCCCTTGGGCTTATTGCATGCATGCTTGGTAGCTATACATGCCAATGTGGGGTGGCCTGGGGTGATTGGATGTCAAGCCAGCCAGGCTTATGTCATGCTTGTGGCCTTGGCATGCCTGCCTGGCATGTCATGCATGATTTGAATTGACACTTTGTTACTTGAATGTTGTCAAGCCCTAGGGCTTTTGGCACACAGCATTGCTGGACATGGTGAGTGGTTGCTGCAATGTTTGATTTGACCAAAGCATCTTTGTGTGTTGGTTCAAGCCCAAGCTTCTTTTGTGGATTTGTAATTTGACATCTCAAGTGTGTTCCAGGTCACACAAGCCTGCAGGCAGGCTTATACATGCATGTGGGCACACACACACACATTGGATGATTCAAGTCACATTGCAATATATTGCATGCTACACATATATAGCAGTTTTAGGGTTGCAACCATGGAAGCCTCAAGCTCAGGCTCAAGGCCTGCAAAGCTGAGGAGGCTTGAAGATTTGAGAAGGGGCAACCCCTATGTGAGCTCCAGTGCTTTATCTAACATTGTCAAGGACATCCAGCAACATGGTCTTCCAGAACTGCACCAGCGCAAGCACATGCAACAAGCCAGAGATGCAAGGCTGGATGAACACAATGGATATGGCCCACTTACTGAGAAAATCAATGTCATGCTTAAGGATGGCAAGAAGGGTGAGATCATGGTGGTCAATATTTTTACTTTTCTGCAAGCTTTGTATGAGCAAAATGGTGGTTTCACTGCACTGGTCAATACAAGTTTGGAAAAACATCCATGCAGTCACAATAACCCTTGGGACCTCATATATTACACTGATGAAATTGTGCCAGGCAACCCCCTTTCTGCAGAGACAAGCAGAAAAATTCAAACAGCTTATCTCAGCTTCAAGCAATTTGGTGCAATTGCCTTATCTAAGGAGGAGGCATGGCTGGTTGCATGGCTGGTTGCTTTTGCCAAAAGGTCTTCACATGTCATGGAGATGGAAGCAGGCATGTCCCAAGTGACAGCAGCACTTTTGGATCACATATTCCACCACCCCTCTTGTTCCCCTGATATTGGGGGATTGATGCTGAAAGATAGGTCAGGTGGAAGCATTAAACTTTGGTTCAGATTGGGTATGATGCTCCAAGATGGGGCAGCACACAAAGCTGTTTGGGGGTTGAAGGGTGATGCAGCTAGTAAATTCTGTGTATTTTGTTTGAATTTACTGACTGAGAAAAGCAACATTGTTGATGAGTCCAATGAGCATCTGCTCATTGCCCAAAGTTGGGACCTTTCCCAAGTTCAACAAGCAAGCAATGATGATGTTCATGCAACTGCCAAAAGATTGGAGCAGAAACATGTGGAACTCAAAGCCAATGAGTTTCAACTTTGGCAGCAAGCAGTGGGAATGAATTACAACAAGTATGCACTGTTGCACTGGGAGTCATTGAAGGGCCATGTGCAGCCTATCAGCCAGTTTCTCCATGACTGGATGCACTGTTTTCTGGTATCTGGGATCTTCCAAACTGTTATGCATTTGATTATGACAGCTTTGGAAGCAAATTTTTCTGGAAATGTCTATGATGTGGCCAGTCAAGTTGTTGGTGCTTGGAACCTGCCTGCAGTCAGGCATGACAATTTGGGGAAATTGTTTGAACCAAAAAGGAAGAAAGCCAACAAACTGGCAGGCACCTTCAAATGCACTGCCAGTGAAGCTTTGGGACTTGCACCAATTTTTGCATACTTCCTGCAAACCATTATAGTGCCAAAAGGTTTGTGCAAAGATGAATGCTTTGCCTACGTTGCATTGGTGGACATTTTGGACCTGATCCAATTGGTGCCTTTGGGCATTATCACACACCATGTGCTTGAGAGATCTTTGCAAAACTTCATTAACCTATGCATCACAGCTGGTTGGAAGCCATACATGTATACCAAGTTTCACTGGAGCTTACATTTTGGACATCACCTGTCCAAGCACAAGATGTTGCCATCTTGCTTTGTTCAAGAACGCAAACATAAAACCATCAAGAGACACTTGGTAATTGTTTTGATGGCTTTGCATTCCCACATTTCTTTTTTGGTGTTGCTTCTTGCATGCTGATGAGCCCTGTGCAACCCTCAAGATTTAGATACTGAGGATATGCATCCTCCATCCAGAACCTGAAAACCTTTGAGAAGTCTGTCACATCTGAAATTCTTTGCCATGATATGGAGAAGCTGCAAGACCCTGATGCATTTAGTGAATCTGCTAGGCTAGTGAAAGAGGGAAAGCCCAGCAAGAAATTGCTTTGTTTTTTGCAAAAGCACTTGAATTGTACACAAGATGTGGAAATTTTCAGCTGCTTACAAGCACATACGTCACCTGCAGGAATTTGCAGCAAAGGTGATATTTGTGTCTTCAAAGGCAAACCTTTGAAATTTTGCCAGGTGTGGTTACATGTCAAGCTGGATTCCACAATTTTGTCTATGGTGTCCATGTGGGATATTCTGGAAATTGATGAATGTGGATGCCATGCTCTGTGCAAGAAGAAAGATGATGCAATGTTTGTGGAAACACACACCATTGCCACCACTACTTCTTTTATGAATTTCAAGAACAACTTGTACAAAGTTATCATTCCTTTCCAATGGGGGTAATGTAAATGGCAGCAAAGGTTTCTGAAATGCTGGCTGCTGTTTCACTGAAAAAGAAAGATGCTGCATCTAGTGCCTTGGGTTGTACTGGGCCAAAAAGCTGTAGGTAAGCTCTAAAGCATTTAATTCAGCCTGGCAATGAGTTGCACATTGAGTTAGACATTTTGAAGCCTCCATGCTTCATGCACAAGCCCTGTGGGCTTCATGTTCAAGCCCTGTGGGCTTATGGGCAAAGCAAGGTCATAGGCCCTTAGACCATATGCAACACAAGTTCTTGGCATGCCCATGGCAAACATCTTTGCAACTTTCAAACCACTATACATACATGTCTCAAGCCAACAAGGCTTATGCAAGCTTCAACCAACAAGACAAAATGTTCGTGCTGAGTTACAAGCATGAATTCCTCTCTATAAGGGTATGTTCCAACTTCCACTATATGCAAGTTTTTGGCCCAGAGGATCACCTGCAGCCTTCTTGCTTCTGTATACCCAACATGCCTTCAGTGTATGTGGAGCAATGGCAGGATCCAATTACCTTGGCACTCTTTGAAAGAGTATGGGTCTCATCCTATTGGAGAAGAAGCTGGACAAGACATGATGCCATCCTCTACTGTAATGCCAGGTATGCCCTCAGAGTTTGCAAGATGGAAAAGACAAAATTCAAGGCCAAGCTTTTGAAGGGAACCAAGAAGGTTCATGTTTTGTACAAGAAGCATTTGAAAAATGCCACGTAATTTGTGATACATCACCTTCTTTTCTTGCACCACTGCAACCCTTGAGCAGAGGTGTATCAGGACAAATAAATGCTGAGACCTTCAACTTGAGAGAAGAAAATGCATGGGTCTTGCAAGAGTGAAGCTGCAGCCACTGCCAGTCCTGTTGACACCATATACCACAAGTGGTTTGTGTTTTGTAGTCAAATCTTCAAGCCCAAGGGCTTTTGTCTAATTGGGAAGAAGGTTTCAAACAAACAAGCCTGGCTGCACTATGTCAAGCCAATTTGGCTTATGTATTTGCAAGCTTCAAGCATGCCCTGTGTAGAAATTGGTATGCATTCAAAACATGCATCTATTCCATTAAAGGAAACATGTCTGGGCTTGCATATGCTGCATGAAGCTTGCAGTGTATTTATATAGATGTTTCAGGCTGCCAGCTCTTTGAAATATTTTCAAATTGTCCAAAGCAAATACCTTTTTCTAGGTTGAGGTCAAGCATTGAAGATTGGCATGGGTTGTTGTTAAATGGATTGGAAGCAGCAGCCAAGCATGCCAGTGACAGCCAGCCACAAACATGAATCATAAATTAAAAAACTAAGTTTTTAACCAATCAGCCTTGGTTTTTGAAGTACCTAACCACTTAGCTAACTACTTAGCTAAGTACCCAGCTAACTACTTAGCTAACTAGTTAGCTAAGCACTTAGCAATAGTTATAAATGATATAACCTAGACCCTAACCTATAGCAAAGTTAGCAACTCCCCGGTTCATCCCAGTGGGTGTGCTACCTGCAACACCCATACACGGCATCCTGCCGACCAACGCTGCGCCCACTTCACAAATAGTAATACGGTTGAAGAAAAGAAACGACACCAAAAAGGGAAAGAAAGCACCACTTAACGCAAGCACATAAAGAGTCAAAAGTGACGAGGATGCTGAGCTCCATGCTCGCATCAGGGTAGGTGAAGAAATCTCTAGCCCAATACCTTTTCACTCTTCCTTGAAATTCGCGACTTCATGGGAATAGTGATAAAATGTCCCGGAGTTAGAGCTTCCCAATCCTGGCTTCCCGTCACCCCCAATAGCCAGCGTTTTAAGTGCCATAATTCAATCCCAAGTTGTTTCATCAGCCTCAATCCCTTGTCAGGAGTCGCTTCCAGGGTCTAACCAACCAACTGGTCGCGCTAACCGTAGACATCGGAAAGTTGCCAAGATCGCACTTAGTGCGAATGCTAAGCCAACCACATCCAAGTTTGCCTCTTCCCCTGACATCTAGAAGTTGTCGATAGGTGAACATAATGGCATTCCATGTGATAAACTTAGTAGGGATAACACAGAGTTAGGTAATGAGTCGCAGTGCGGACTGCTGGGCAATCACACAGCTGAACCCGCTGAAACCGCGCCACCACGTGTGTGGACCTCATCCTCCTGCTCACATACATTCCCTTGGCAGCGCCCAAAACATAATGTTGGTCTTAGGTCAAGGGCATCCGCCCAACTTAAGAAACCTTCTCAAGACACAATATCCACCTCCATCACCAATGATGGACCGAAATGGATGTGTCACACACGCATCGCTAAACCATAAACCAACGCATAGATTGCTGCGAGCGCCCGCTTGCGCAATATTAATGCGTAGGTGCCTGCCAAAAGCGCAGAGCGTGGATCAGGCGAGGGGGGAGTTGAAATATATCGACCCCTGAGCCCCCACTACATGTAGCATAGCAGGTAGGTATAGCGTAGTGTAAATAGCGTAGCTATGAGTTCCAATTCAAACTCCAAATAGTTTTTCCTTAGCATGTCGCTCTTGCGCGACATACTGTACATTGAGTATCATAACATACCTAGAAGCGTTAGGTATGTTCAGTGCTTAGGGTTTATTCCAGGGTTTTAGTTGTCCCTTATCCAACAACCACCGGGTTCGGGTCATAACTAACCGCTGGTTGACGTCCGTGGCTCAAGTGCCCAAAAAGGTCGGGTGCTTGGTTTGTTTAATGGGGTTATCGAAGGATACCGTGGTTGGTTCCCTTGTTCGGTCCCCTGTTTTCACTATATATATAATATTACCACTAATAAGTAATATTCCCATATGATAAATATATATATATAGTCCCATTAATATATTCCCGTTATATCATTATATTTCCACTATATTCCACATGAGATTCCCTACTATATTCCCATTATATTCTCATTATATTCTTATTATATTCTTATTATATTCTTATTATATTCCGTTCCCGTTATATATATATATATATTCCCAGTGCCCCAGAACATATTCCCATTATATGTTCTATTACATTCCTATTACATTCCTATTATTAATTCCCATTATATTCCATATTGTATTCCCATGATTTTCTCATTATATTCCCACCCTATATTCCCTATAATATTCCCATGGTATCCTGTCCGGTAATTCCCATGTGTTCTTGAACGCTGCTGACCTTGTCCAGGTCTTTACCTTCCGGGCCTCGCTGAGTTCTGCCTCGCGGCCCTCAAGACCTTCCAGTGGCCCTGCGCTGCCAATGTATACGCGAGCCCGGCAGCTTTGGAGGCGCCGTGACACATGATCAATGTGGTAAGCCCAATGAAATCATCACCAACTATTGTTGTGGCCAATTAGATAATACATCATACATCTGGGTAAATTATAACGACCTCACTGCGACCTCACTGGAAATCATGGTTAATAAGGGAAATCATCCCCAAATGGCCTTAATTCAGGTTAGTGAAATATTATAATTTACCCAGATACATCCAAAATGACAATGTTGTGGCAAATTAGATATAGATTATGATGGGGTTTACACTCTGGTGATTTTTCACGTAATTAGCGAACTGGCAAATCACCATGTTTAATCGGTAAACGATCATGTTTATCACCTATAAGTGGGCCATGGCTTCCATAGCTATGTTAAATGACTATAGAGAGTAGATCCAAACATGACATGTCGTATTTTGTTTCAACGGGGGACGTGTTTATTAACCATCTATGATCACGTGATTGTGACAATTTTATAGAAGTTTGCATAATTTGAAACTGCACTTAGTTTAGGAAGATTATAAACAACAGATATCAAAAAGGGTCCAACATTGCATTTATTTAGATATTTAACATGAGTACTGTACAGCAACAGAAATAGCAGTTTTGACAGGCAACATGATGATCAATCATCTTGGATGGGTTTGAATCCAGCCCAGTTGGTGTTAGGTGTGGCTAGGCCTGGGGTATCCTGGGGTTCCAGCACCTGAGTTGCTAGGCTCATGGGAAGTTGTTTTTTTTTCCTCAGATAGCACCACCCATGTTAAAAAGTAAAATCCTACTTACAATACCTTACCTGGCTGGTGGTTTGGAACATGTGTTATTTTTCCATCATATTGGGATTTTCATCATACCAACTGACGAACTCATATTTTTCAGAGGGGTAGGTCAACCACCAACCAGCTTACAATATCGTAGAAAATTCTGATCAATTTCACCTATCTTTGCATCTTGTCGGCGTTTCTCAAAACACCACCGATTTTTTTTTGGGTACCCAACAACTATACCACTGGTTGGTGGTTTCAAACATTTTTAATTTTCCATAATATAAGGGATAATCCTTCCCATTGACTAATATTTCTCAAGACGGTTAAAACCACCAACCAGACCACGCGTTGCCACGCCATCTCTTGCAGGTATCTGTGCCATGTCACACAGCATCTTGGCACCTGCTTTGCTGCGACTCAGGAAGTGGTGGATTCAAATGTGGTGGTTTCCTACAATGGGGTACCCCAAAAACGCTGGATGGTTTGGAAAGAGGATGATTTGGGGGTACCATGTTAGGAAACCTCCATCTGTTGGGGAAGATCCCAGTAGATTCTGCTGAAGATGCCTCACATCTTCATGGAATCCTCCGAGCTGGGCAACAAGGATCGACAAGACGTTCTGGTCTTTCAAGCAACGGGGCAAAAAAGGCCAGGACGTCGGGTCAAGACTCGGTGCCCTATGTGGTCCGATGTGTGGCAAATAGACCAACGGGACAGAAAAGTTGGCCAAGTCAAGTTGACGGCTGCTGTCGGAGACCAAGTTGACTTTTTTCACATCCTTTCGCAGGCATCAAACCATGCTTCCGTTCTATTGATGAGAATGTTCCTCAAATATTGTCAAACGACGAATAAAACTAGTAAATCTATTATAGTAATGGACGATTTTGTGTTTTGTTGATTCTGTATATAATGTATACATGTATGACTACATTGATAAGATATTGTGTGATGTGTGTATAATTCATTGATTGTCTGCAACTTTGTCATAGACATATCTTGATATGATCCTCTGATGAAGGCTCACAGGGCCCCGGCTGGGTCGCAGTGCTTTGATGGTCATGGCTTCAAATGCTTGATCCAAAAATACACCTTTGGGGTCTAAGAAATAAAGTGACAATGTAACAAGCATTCAGTATCATCATGTTTCTTTATTTCAATATAAACATATCATCAAACTCTTAGAGTCATTGCCATTGTTCATCATTGTTCCATATGTTTGAAGCGCAGCTTGACATGAATGTGGCTGTGTCCGAAAATCAAGTAACTCCAATAAATGGTAATTTCAATATGTTCAATATGTATATATATAGAGAGAGAGAGTGGACATTATGATAAAGCAGCAGATTGAGTTTCAATGTCAAGTAACTTCATTAGCTATTGCTATTTCCATGGGGAAACTGAAGCTTTAGACCAGATGTTCAGACTTGCGCTTAGTAGGGAGTGAGGGAATGATCCACAATAGCTATCAATAATCTCATTCCCATCCATTCCCATCCATTCCGGTCCATTCCCATCCATTCCCTACTAAGCACCAGTCAGCAGACCAAGCAATTTCCGGAGACAACTTTTTCCATCGCAGGTGGCAGGTTTTTCATCCACCTGACATCGGAGATGTTGATCCCTTGCGACGAGGAAAGGATGGAGATGTGACTTGACGCAGCTGGACCTGGGGATTTCTTGGGATATACCCGGCCTGGTAAACGTTTACATAACTATGGAAAATCACCATGCTATTAATGGGTAAATCCACTATAAATCACCATTTTCAATAGCTATGTAAACGTTTACCAGAGGGTATTTGGGAAGAACGGTGATGAATGGGGATGAATGGTGATGAATGGTGATGAATGGTGATGAATGGTGATTAGTGGATGTTTAGCCAGTGATTTGGATATATATATATGTATATATATATATTGGGATTGGGATTATGAAAAATAGCATTTTTTCACAATCGACAACGGTGAACAAATGGTGATTTGACCATCAACCATTGGGATTTCACAATGAATAAACCTCATTTGACTATGTCTGGAAATGGCTGAAAATGAGTGATGCTACCACGTAAAATGTGTGTTTAAAAAAAAGGGAAATGATGATTCACCAGGGGCTAATGTTTGGTACCCAAGCTCAAAAAAACCAGCGACTTGGCAGCAACACAGAGTTTGTATCCCTGGTGGATCCGAGGGTTGGATCCAATGGTTTGAAATTGGGCTTTCACCAGAAAGTCGGTTCTATCACTATGCCTGTTTTTGTTTTTACCGTCAATGGGGCGGTTCAAAGTGGTAGTGTGGACCTGAACATTGGGTATCCCATTGGAATCGGGGAAACAATAAAAAGATACAATATATATATATATTATATTATATATATACTGTATATATATATATATTATATTGTATATATATATATAAACTATGTTTATCCTTCTCTCTCTCTCTCGTCTCTTCCTCTCTCTCCTTCTTTCCTATTTACCTAATATATACTGGTTGGTGGTTTGGAACATGAATGTTATTTTTCATAATATATTCGGAAATTCATCATCCCAACTGACGAAGTCCATCATTTTTCGGGCTTCAAACCACCAGTAGATATGATGATTCTGATGATTCTGTTCGTTGGAATCATCAATAGCCATCGGTTTCCCATGGGTTTCCCATTGGAATCATCTGATGATGAAAAATCATTACCATGGAACTTGGCAGGATTATTGGGAGTTCCAAAGCTCGGAACAATGGCGGCATTTCAAAAAGTTTTTTTTTTGGCGCGTAAGCTTCTGGATTTGGGTCTGAAAATGGGATATAACATGATATAACCCATATTTATATCCATTTATATCCATTAAAAAAAATGACTATATGAATGAATAGGGAACATAGGGAACATGATTGTAATCCAATGAATTTGGGGCTAAGCTAGCACCTGGCTCGAGGTGATCGAGCATTTGGGTGATCCCTTGCTGGATGTGGTCTTGGAGCCGGGTTACATGTTATACGTGCCATGGTCATAGGGCAACGTGTGGGATATTAGCCATGAATCATGATAATCATGGTGGATTGTTTTGTGGGATATGTTTATTGGAAGTATTTTTTTGTGGGTTTTTTTTATTTGATGTACCCTCTGGTGAACTAACAGTTTGCAATGGAAAATGGCCCAGTCGAAAGTGGATTTTCCCATTTTCATAGCATGGTGATTTTCCATTGCTATGTAAACGTTCACCAGAGGGTAAGCAACTTGTCAGGACCCCTTCAGTCGTCCCGTTGGACTCATCGGGATTGATCACCCAGATGGGACAACAGAACGATGATACGAACTCTTGGTGGTTTAAGGAACCATGGAATTTTGAATGACTTTCCATTCAGTTGGGAATAATGGATTATATAGTGGTTTAATGGATTTTAATGGATTTTTCCATTTATTGGGAATTCCATCATCCCAACTGACGAACTCCATCATTTTTGAGAGGGGTAGGTCAACCACCAAGCAGTAGATGTGTCATGATGTTTCATGCGACAGTTGAAGTTGATCATGGGATCAGGACACTGAAATATTGACTGGATCCATGGCTCGTTCCAAGTGATGAATCCTTGGTGATTTTTTAAGCAATGCATGGTGATCCTTCGAATCTAGCATTCCATGCTCGAAATTCCAGAGGACAAATATGGGGTTGGCGGTGGCACTAGCCGTGCTACTTTTAAGTTTCCGTGTGACCAAAGGCAGGCATGTGAGGGGAATAAACTACACAAGTTATATGTTTTCACAATCAGGAATGCTCTTCCTTGCTAAAAAGCGGTTGTGCATCGAGCGGCTTCAAGTACATATAAAGCAAGCACGTACTACCATGCACTGTTGCTGCGATGATCACAATGTTAGGACATGGCTCAAGTAGTTTCAACACCATTCAGCACAATTTGGCTATGGGTCCAACTTGGATACAGCAAAAGTGGAATGCTGAGTACGTAGCAGTATACTTACTCATTTTTCTAACTTACTTATCTTGTACATTGTGATCATTTTGCATGTACTGTTCAAGAACTGTAGATGTCAAGTCTCTTTGTGATCGAAAACAAACCCAATAAATTTCAAAGTATTTCCGGGAGATATCCACAACTCCAACTGGGTTTGTTTGAACATAGATCAAGCCCACCATCTAAGGGTTGATCGTGTCATTTTCCCCATACTAAGCATTTTCAGGTCCACCCCCATCATACTATTGATGGGTAGGATGGCTATCCAAGATTATCTGAGTATATCCCATTGATTCGCATTACGTCCCCATCAAATTCTTGGTTTTAATACGGCTCAATCCTCCATTTGTTTTGATTTTTCATATATCAAATTTCACGTACACTGCACCAAATATTGCATCTTGACCTTGATATCCAATATTCCCTAAAAATCACAAAATCCCAGGAGCTCGTGAAATTTAATATGTTCATACCTCCTGGTGACTTCTGCTGAGGTGCCTTTGGGTTTTGGTCACCGTACCTCAACGTATGGCCTCAGAGGGCCCTCATGGCACATCACGTTGAACCTGGACTCCGTCATTTGGGGCTTGTCTTACAGGCTGCGATGGTGAAACGGTTAGTGAAACGGCTGGAAACTCTTCAAGAGAAATGGAAAACATGTGGTTTGGTGGATGTTTTCACGAAATGGTGGACTATAACATATATATATATACATATATTATATATAGATATGATATAACATATAGTAAATAACAATTCTATACATATATATATATATGTCACATATCATATATTAGATACGTTAGATTATCCGTTGGACGAATGTTGGATCGAAACCTCGAAACAACACATGAGTTGCTCGTGTTTTTTGGCAGCTTTCGGCTCCTTAATCCATGATTTTTACATATTTTTTACAGGGCTTGGCCCAGCCCTTGCGCTGCAGTATCCGGCTCCAGCTGATACTACAGTTCATGAAAATTTCTAGTAGACTCCTGTTGGACAACATTTCTACAGATGCTGGTATCACTTCTGTTGGTTACTATACACCCTAATTTCAGCCCGC